ATTAAAATACTAATAACAATTTTACAGTTAAGACGACCCCCAGCGATGCGGGCGATTCGAGGGCGACGACGCGGACCTCGACAGCGACGACTGCGGGGATGAGGATTTCCCCGACTGCCGGGAAGCGACTCCCGGTGAAAACTTCGACGGCGGCCACAGCGGCGAGCAACTTAAGGATGACGACGCGGGCGTTTGCAGCGCGTAGGCGCGCATCCTCGTGCCGGGCCCGGACCAGCGGGTCGATCATCAGATCGAACAATATTGGCCTCAAGGGACAGCCCTGCCTTACTCCCGACCGCATCGGTATAGGGTCTGTGAGGCCCTCGCGGGTGCGCACGCAGACCGTGGCGCCTTGGTAAAGGCTACCCACGATCTCGACGATTTTCGCGGGCGCGCCGATTTCCGCGAGGGTTCGCTGAATGATTGCGTGGGCCGAACGCGTGGGCCAGGTCCAGCCATACGACCACTATCTCCTTCCGGTGGTCACGAGCTTGCTCGACACGATGCAGCATGAAGGAGTGCTCGAGGCACCCCTCATGCGGCAGAAAATCCTTTTGGGCCGCGCTTAAGCGGTTGTTTGCGATCGCCCAGCGCGTCAGGCGATCCGCCAGCACAGCGGCGAGGAGCTTGGCGACGACGTCGCCCATCGCGATGGGCCGCCAGTTGCTCAGGTCGTTGCGGGGTCCCTTTTTGTGCAGTAGCACAATCAGGCTCCGCTTCCACGTGCCAGGAATATGCCCCAGGCGGAAACATGCATTGTAATTAGCGGTTAGAACCGCGGCGTCCGGGTCGGCCCTCCTGAGATCTTCATAGGTCACTCCGTCCGGCCGGGGAGACGAATTCTTCATTCTCTTAAGCCGACGGAGCACCTCGGACTGCTCCAGAGGGGCAACCAGTGCGCTATTAGAGTCGGTGGACGGTTCCACCGTTTCCCGGGGCTGAGGGAGGGGACCTGTTCCTTCCGTCCACGAGAAGGCCTCCGTAAAGTGTCAATGGATCGTCTCCTTGGACACTTCACAGAAAGGGGAGAAACTCGCTTTCGGTTGGCCCGGTACATCTTTTGAATCCGTTTGGCCTCCCTTGCGTACTCCTGGCGGTTGAGCTGAGCACCGACGGGTCGCTTCGGTCTCGCCGCCCCGCCCGCCGCGCTGTCTCTGTTGGTATTGTTCGCGTCTGCAGCAACCCTCCTCGCGGGCAAGAGCCGGGCCAGATCGTCGGCCACAGCGTCTAGGTCTAGATTCGTCCGCGCGGCCGCGGCGCGTTCCACGAGGCGGGCCTGGGTCCTCGCCGCCATTAGTCTGGCGGAGAGCGACTCCCCGGAGACCGCCCCGCGAGCTTCGCCCCGGTCGTTGTGTTCGGTCGTTGGAGGGCTGCGCGTCCCGTTACGCTCGTGACCAGAGGGGCGCGTGCTGTTTGGCGGGGGGGGGCCGCCGGTGCGGCCCTCGACCCTGGTTCTTCACCGGTGTCGCGTCGACGAGTTCTACGTCTTCCCCCCGCTCCCTGGACCCTATTGCCGGAGTTGTTGTTACCGTTGGAAGACGGGGGGCTACATGCGTTATCCCCCCGCCTCCTTTCCTTCCGATGTTCGCGGCCGATGCCCCGCACGTGCATCGGCATGCGCACGCCCGGGCCGTCCCGGGTCGTGCATTTTTTTTTTTTTT